CTCAAACTCCACTCACAAGTTTGGTTAATTACTCAAATTTAATTTAAAATTTAAATATAAATAAATTTTGATATATATATTTTTTTAAATACATACGTTCAACTGACTTAATTTTTTGAGTTTAGATTTGAGATCAAACTCAAGTTCGAGTTGAGTTGAGCCCCTTGACTCGTTAATATGACATCGAGCTTGAATTTGAATTCTAAAGAACTTGGCTTGGCTCTATCTATTTACACTTCTACAATAACTCAACTCATTAACAACCCTAACTCCAAGAGAAACACTATTCATTTCTTTGACATTGATAGCATATAAGCTATATATTAGAACTTTTTTTTTTCCCTTTCATCAATTTCCTGGTTTTTTTTTTTTGTGAATTAAAAAAAAAATTCAATTCTTCGCTTATACGAACAATTTTCTCATACACTTGAATAATCTCAAATTTAGATGTCTTTTTCCTATCCAAAACAAAGCCCATTGAAGATGTAAGGAATCACTTAAGAAATGAAAATTAGAACTTTAAAGTTTTTTTTTTTTTTGTTATTTTAAGATGTCGTCACCCTAAATTTATGCGATGCTTTTCTTTTCCTTCCCTCAACGAATTACTTCCCTTATTTTTCTTCTTTATGTTACTTTTCTTTCCCTTATTCTTTCGGTTCCTTATTTTATTCTTCGGTCGGCCGAATTACTCCCATACTTTTCTTTATGTTTCTTTTCCTTCCCTTACTTTTCTTACCGAGAAACGCTGTGATTTTCTGTGACTTGAAATTAAGCTAACCATTTTTTGTGCAAAATATTATTAGTTGAAGAAAAATATTTATTAGCTGGATTTTTAAAATTTTAAAAGTAAAAATATTTCAAAATTATATCACAATAAGCTACTATATGTAGGAAAAGAGTAGCAACTTATATTTTAAGCATAAATAAAATTGTTTTTGTCTTTTTCACTTATGCTTTATTAGTTAAAACGACTTAATCTATAATAGTGTTTTTCTCCTAATTTTTAGAGATTTGACAAATAAAATAAATATTAATTTCATATTATTAATATGGTTTTGTTTGTACATATTGTGTTGTTGTTGTAAGTTTTTTTGTTTTTAAATATTTAAAAATATATAAAATATTAATTAAAAATAATAAAAATGTATAAAAAAAATTA